TACAAAAACTTATTCTTAATAGCGAAAACAGCCGATTTCCCTAAATCTTATATGTGTGCACTCATCTCGGGAGCCTTACGCACCTAATGACGTATCATACGTACCTTAAAAACCTTCCCTTGAGGCTGTAGGTGCGGTAGATACTTACGGAAGTTGCATTCAAATATACACACACACACACAGACACTATTTTTTTATATAATAGTAGGATAGTAGGATTTTTGCCTTCTAGCTGCCTCGCTCTCCCCTCTCTCTCACACAAATATGCTAAATGTGGCCTTATTCGAACCCGACGCAATGCTGAATCGGTGTTGCAATTTTCCAATTTCAGGTCCTGCCTCGACTTGGATGATTTTTCCAAGACTATGATTGCCTGCGTATCAGGCAGCTATACCGAAGTCGAGACGTTCGACTTCCGACTCAATAAATTTAAACGATTCAAGAATGGGGAAAAACGATAAGGAAATATAAAGGTTCGTTTATTCACATCTCTAAACAGGACTCATTCAAACAAACTCAAACAGGACTCATCACATTCTCAGTCTCTCTCGCTCTCTCTCTCTCTCTCTTTCTCTCGCTCTCTCTCTCTCTACGCGCAGCGCATCGCGGAATTGCTAATTCGCTTACCAGATCAGACCGATCGTCTTGGGGTGAACGCGGGGCAAAATGATACTCCAGCCAACACTGTTACCTTTCTTGCTTTTCTAATACTGTTTTTAAACCCCTGTTTTGGCTGCTGTTAATTTAATTTTCACGTGTAATGTGTCTCGCTCAGTCTCTCACGCGTTCTCTCCCTCTAACCCACTAACTCAATCTCTCTTTCTTTCATTTCGTTTCTCTCTCTATCTCGCTCGCTCTCTTTCTCTCTCACTCACTCCCTCTCTAACACACCGAGTCAAAAACCCTCTTTTCTCTTCTCTTCTCTATTTCTAACCCACTGGCTCAATCCCTCTCCGTCACTCTCTCTCTATGTCTCACTCTATCTATCTTTCTCTTTCTCGCGCTCTCTCTCTCTATCTCACTCTCCCTCTCTCTCACTCTCTTTCCCACTGTCTCTCTCCTCTCTTTCGCTCTCTATCCATTTGTCTTTTCAATCCTTGCGCCTATTGTCCCCATATTTTTCGGCACTTTTTCGCCCTCGAACCGGACCTCGCCTCTTTTCATTGGACCGCCCGGACAAAGGGTCTCTCCGCCCCAACCCCCCGATATACCGTAGCCCTTGCCTTCCCATCTCTAAAGTGCAAAACTACGATTTTATGGTGGCGCAGCCGAAATTTGGAATGAAGGATTAGCGAAATGTCCAATCGGATTTTATTTATCAAAAGGTTTTATCGGAAGAAACTTGAAAATGCTGGCTATTTTTGAAATCCGAGAAATTGTATTACTTTCGAGGTTGCGAGTTGGGCGACAGCCGTATTCTACGTTTCTCAGGACCCACTAGGCTATACACAAATACAATCATTTTATAGACATACAATGGCAATGCCGGTAGCTATCTGTGATTCTATTCAAATCCTGGTTACAAAGACCCATATTTCAGCTAGTTTTCCCTGCCAGCCATTACACATTTCCTTGAAATTCCCAGATTTGAATAGTCACCGCAACAGCACCCTGTTTTCGAAATGTGTGTCTGGGGTGGGCGTTGATTTTCCTAAGAGGGTCCACAGGCCAAATCAATACATCCCGCGCTCCTCTTCGCGCCGCCAGCTCCGGGGCTCGTTCTCGATCAGACCCCCTTGCCTCTGTTTTTTGAGCCATTCCACCTACCCCCACAATCATAAATCGATTTGTAAAAACGCTGGCTTGGCTCTAAATTAGTTCGTCAGCTTGCTGTTGTGGATTTGTCATTACTGGGTATAAGGAAAAATGTACCCTCTGGTGCTTTAGGGAATTCGCTGATTTCTACCATTAAGTTAGCTCTCAAAAGCTTTCTCGATTTCTCTATCTCTGTCTCTCTCTCTCTCCCGTTCTTTCTCTCACTACTGCGCCCAAAAATATACCGTAACCCTACTCCGTAGACAGAAAAGCGCAAAGCTGCCATTTCCCAGCCCCTTTCTCTGCTCATGTTAGGAAATGGGCTGTATTTAAATTCCTCCCCTTAGCGAGTGGTTCGTAAAAGGGGCCTTTCGTTTCTGGCCACGCCGAGCAGCAGAAGCCGGGTTCAATCGGAAATTTCTAACTTCTTCGCGCGTTCAAGTTGCTAAAGAATGAAATATTGCATCACTTGCACATAGATATTCTACTAATAATTATACTATCACTCTCGCGCTTCCTCTATCTCTCTCTCTCTCTCTCTCTCTCTCTCTCGCTCTCTCTCTCTCCCTCTCTTTGGCTCTCTCCACCTCGCTCCCCTCTCTCTCTCTCTCTCTCTCTCTCTCTCATCTCATCTCTACAATCACTACAATTGCACTTTCACACTAGCTGGAAATTTTCTCAAACGATTGAAACGAAAATGATCCCAACAACACCCTGCCTTCAAATCGGTGTCTGGGTTGAGCCGATTTTCCCACTTCGGGCCCGCAGTGGCAGATCATAAACGTCGCGCGGCTCGTGACGCCGCCGCTCCTGGGCTCGTGCTCAGTCAGATTACAGATTTGCCCCAAATATTACTGAACGTCTGGTTTTTGTGTACTAATTTTTCACGTTGGTTTCTTCCCTAGTAGATCAATTTTCCGTTTTTCTCTTCTCTCTCTCTCTCCCGCCCCGGTCTACTCTATCTCTCTTTCGCTTTCGCTTTTTCACTGGCCCTCTACCGTTTTAGCTGTTGCTTCTCTCTGGCTGGCCCTCTATTTTTTCCTTCTAGTTCTTTAGCACTCGTTCGCTTTCGTTCTCTCATTCTCTTGCGCTCTCGCCCGATTTCTCTCAAAAATGTTTTAAAACGCCGTCCGCCAGCTATGCCTTGGCACAGTTTTTCCGGCCCCATTTTTTGATGCCATCGGAAAGAACATGTTCGAATTAGTAGGGCTGCATAGTTTTGAAAGTTCAAAAAGGTTATTTTTATGGTTTAAATGGGTGTTAAAGTTGCCGACCACGAAAAACTATCTTGGAAGTTACTGAACAGAAATGACTGAAACTTTTAGTTTTGAGACGGGGCTCATTTCTCTAATTAATTGTGAAGCCTCTTGTTTCCTTTCCATTTTGGTTTTGAATCCGTTCGTTCTGGTTTGGGGGTGTTTCCTCAATCCCGAAATTTCCAATCCCGAAACTCCCTATCCCGAAACTTCTCTATCCCAAAACTCTTTATCCCGAAAACTTCGTATCCCGAAACTCTCTATCCCGAAAACTCCAATCCCGAAAACTTCGTATCCCGAAACTCTCTATCCCGAAAACTCCAATCCCGAAAACTTCGTATCCCGAAAACTCTCTATCCCGAAACTCCATATTCCGAAACAAGTTAACCACCTTTAACGTGCCAATACTATGATGTTTAGAATTTTTGGTGGCAGCCAGTAGCTGCTCAAAACAATAAAACATGAGAGCGTTTTACTACTTTCCTGGGTGATAAGGCGCAATCTTTTTGGGATCTAGGGATGCCGAATGGCCTCGAGATTATCATTTAAATTTGAACGCGCCTTGTTCTTGGATAGAACCAGGTTCATGCCTAATCATCATCGTACCTATGTAGATAGGCCGGGGTTCAAACTACCTGCCGTTTTTAGCCTCTGATATCACCCAAAACCGACTTTTTGTAAACCACGATCTTTCAGTGCGCAAGTACATCAGCGACGCGGTCATCAACCGGTTTTTCGCCCAACTCAAAGACGCCGATCCAGAACGCCTGCAGACCCTCGACTCTGGTGACTAGCATTTGTTGGAGGACCCCGAATGCAACAAGTAAGCACCTTATGGGTTTTTGAATTTTAAAATTGAATTTATTTACTGATTCCGACCCTGTTTTAAATTCTTGCCAAATAGCGACATCTACAAAGTTCTAGCAATTTTAAGGTTATAGCAGGGTCGAAAAGCCGCTTCGCGACTATTCAACCCTGGTCCCGTCTAAACCCAAACTATTCTTCACTTTGCATAATTGCCCCCGAATTACGATGAGCAAAAAAACGAAAACCGCTCCCACTGTCTCTTTTAGATAGACTAGCCTCACTTCCGGCGAATGCCAATTTTTTCGTAACAAAGAGGGTCCCCGAAAATTTTACAAAAACTTGAATTTAATGTAGAGAACAGCTGATTTTGTAAACTTCCCCTGAAATTTTTTACCTTGCATAATTGTCCTGCATTCGGATGACAAAAAAATGAAAAACAACCTCTACTGTTCATTTATATAGTCGGATCCCCACTTCCGGCCTATGCCATTCGTTTCTAACAAAGAAGTTTTACCTAAAGAAGTTTTTTATTTAACTACGCAATTCTAGAGGTCATTTTGTAAAATCTTGCCGCTTTTCGGGGTTGCATACGAGCTGATTTGCCTCAAATTCCCCATACCAAATGACCAGAAATAGCCGTTAGTTAGATGCAGAGGCCGTTTCTTAATGTTTTTAAATGCGTTGTAAAACAGCGCATTTAAATAAAAACATCGTTTTGAAGATTGTTGCAAACTCGCCGTCTCAGGGGCTTTCGAATGGTTTCTTTTTCCGATCCGATAATTCTGCGTCAAGTTAGAGGGGGTGGTTTTTTATTGGGACACCCTGTATAGGAATGGGCAGAGCTTGTTTTTCTGCAGCAAAAATTAACGGGCGGGTTCGAACCCATATACCATTGGACTCCCTCGTAGCTCGGATCCTTCGGACCCTTGCGCCTGCCCGCACAGGCACGTGAAAAGCTCTCGCGCCGCTATACCGGGATCCATATCATTATATCAAAATTACTATCCCGAAAAACATTTTCCCGAAAATTTCTGTATGAGCATAAGCATGCGATTTCCCACATCTGAATGCTATTTAATGCATTGAATTTTTCGGGATCATGATTTTTCGGGATGTTAAACTTTCGGGATAATCTAGTTTGAGAATGTGGTTTTGAGATATTAATTTTGGAAATAATGACAGATGGCGGCTGCGCCGGCGATGAGGGACAGCGGCAGTCGTGCCCGCAGCACCATTTGTGAGATGCCCAGTTCGACGCGCCTCGTCCTGGAGGAGATCAGCAACTGCGTCCATGCTCACTCGGTAAGCACTTCACGGGCGCGGGATTGCGTACTGTCTTTTATTGTCTTTATTATTTTTATTTTATTGATTTTTATTTTCTCAAAAATTTTGCTGCCTGCGGCGCTATTTTTTTACGTTTGTACGGCTGTTCGTAGAGTTATGCAACCTTCTTTTCAAAAATTTTTGCCTGCGGCGCTGTTTTTTCGGCAATGTTTTGAGTTGTTTGGAAAATTTTTTTGGCCCCCCCCCCCGAAATTTTTTTTCTGGCTACGCCCCTGGCCATGGCCCACGAAACCAATTATCTCTGTAAAACGAGGCTTGCATACGATATCTTCAACGACTCTGGAAAAATCCCGAGAACTAGCTTACTTTTCTGATTTCTGGATTTCGCCAGACGTGTTAAGCAATGGGCCTTCCCCCGCCATCTAATATCCAATTATGACGATCTCAAAATGAAGGGAGGTTTTCCGGCTGGCGTTAGGGTTAGCGTATGTCCAGGTGGGCTCGGAAAAGACGTACTGTACAAGATTTGCCGCGTTTAATATGCTAAGTCATCAGCTAAATAGCAACATTTCTCTGGGGGCCAACAGGCCTTCTTTCGAAAATTACGAAATGCGTTGAATCGCATTGCATCCTCCGCACTCGTTGGCCCTCTTCCCTCTTCTAAATCTACTTACAAGGGAACCACAAGTTGGCACGGTGGAATTTCGAAAAACGCTCGCGGCTACCCATAGGTTTTCGACGACGGCGATTCCAACGCGCTAGTCAGAAGTAGCTAAATCGACCTGTGGACAGAGATACAGCACTTCCGGAAAATGATCAATTTACATTCGGAGGAATTAGCATTCACCTCAGGGTTTATGAGGGCTTCCCATCTGAGAAGAATCACCAGTTGAATGGCCGGCTGGTAAGCGGGTAGCTTGTTAGGATACTGACCAAGGTTCGAATCCGTTCACGACTTTTTTGTTTTGCTTTTTGGACGGAAGTTTCGATTTTTTTTCACATAGTAAAGCTTCTATTCGTTGGTGATGAGGCCGATTCCTGCAAAAACGTTTTGAAATTGCATCTTTCATGCGACAGCCCCTTTCAAACGAACGAGTAGCTTTTAGAAGCTTGTAGTTTTGCTCAAAGTTCCGTCCAAAACGTAAAACAAAAAAGTCGTGAACGGATTCGAACCCTGGTCAGTATCCTAACAAGCTACCCGCTTACCAGCCGGCCATTCAACTGGTGATGCTTCTCAGATGGGAAGCCCTCATAAACCCTGAGGTGAATGCTAATTCCTCCGAATGTAAATTGATCATTTTCCGGAAGTGCTGTATCTCTGTCCACAGGTCGATTTAGCTACTTCTGACTAGCGCGTTGGAATCGCCGTCGTCGAAAGCCTAGGGGTAGCCGCGAGCGTTTTTCGAAATTCCACCGTGCCAACTTGTGGTTCCCTTGTTAATTCAAAAAAAATCTAAACTTAATTAATCGCTATGCCGCTGTGCAAGTCAAACATTTTGTGCCATTACATTCTTTTCGTAACATGCCGTGTTCTTCTATGACCAGCCGCTTACTGGCGGCTGGACTTCGGGCTACCCCATTCGCCTCCTCCCCCTCGCCGAAACGCGCGCCACCTGGCTCACTATGTCCGAAATCGCGCAAACCTCCGTCCCCCACCCCTTTTACTGAGGAAAAACTTTCAAAGTTAATTTTAATAATTTAATTGACAACTTTTTCATAATTTTTTCATCAGTTTGGGGGTTTCTGACCACGCTCTATCCAAGTCCGAAAAGCCCTAAGCTCTAGCTCCCTTCCCCTTCGAGTTGAATTCGGCTTCAGAGAGACGGATACCACTACTTTTTTATTATAGTTTCTTGGCCCGGAGTGGGGGGAGGTGTTAGGGTGCTTTCTTAAAAGGATATTGTTTCGAACCACCGAAATACCCAAAATCAATGATCAACTCCACCTATCTTGATCAATTCCATACAGATATGCATATGATTCTAGCTTTCTTACTTGTGCGTTTAGGTGGGCGGGCAGAAAAACTCGAGCGACTGCGGCGTGTTCGTGTGCGCCTACGCCTCGAATATCCTCCAGCCAAGGCTCCTGTACCAGCAACAGAAGGAGGAGGAGATGAAGGACTGGCGAAAACGCCTTTTCGCCGCGATGTTTGAAGATGGGGAAGCGAAAGAAAAAATGCCAGAAAAAGCCGTGGCAACCGCGGCAGACGCCTTAGCCGATCTCAACTTCGAGATGGACGTTGAAATGCCCGAAGTTGCGGAGCCGTTGAGGGACAGGAGCGCTGCATCCCAGGAATCGGTCGCCGACGATGCGCTGGCCACAATGGATAAGGAAAAGGCCAAGACAGCGGTTATGGCCACCGTTCTGTCAGAAGCCCCGGCAACTCACCGATCAAAGGTGGGTGTTCACTTGTTTAGCTACAGTATAGTTTAGTATAATTACAGGTTCTTTAGGATTTCCGGGAGTATTCCGGGGAACCAATTTTTTTTCTGGTGGTCCCGGTTAACCTAGTAATCAAATATAAAGTGTTTTCGAATTGTTTTTAGTAAGTTCTATACCGGGTCGAAGCCCTTTACATAGGCTAAGATGGATTTTGGTTCATGGTCAATTCCCGTTAGGCTTTAACCATTTTTCAGCGCGAGGGCTCGAGGAGCAGAAGCCCAAACAGAGAGGGTATGAAGCGGCAGTGCTGGAAAAAGATTTCCGAACAAGCCGCTGGAAAAGACGAAAAGGAGCAGCAGGTCGCGGACTACAAATACAGCGAATACGAGAGGCGCAATCACGTGAAGGTAGGACGTTTTCTGTCATATTCAAGATGCCAAGACGTTTCGCTGGCATGTAAGTAAGCAAGTTAAACTGACTTAAGCTAGAAGATGCAAGAAGCAGTTTTCCGCCTTTTGTGGTTGTCAAATAGTGTAGAAAATGTGTCATAATTTGGATAAGGGCGATTGTAATGATCGTAATCAGTCTATATTGAATAGTTGAAAGAAGCTTCTACAATTCTATAAAACTAGACTTCTGACGTTCATCAAACTAAAAACTGGCTTAATGACTGAAAAAAAAATTATATTTTTATTATCAAAGCTAAATTATTACTAGTTATTATTTTTTTTTATTTTTTATTTTTTATTTTTATTTTATTTATTTTTTATTTTTTTTATTTGTTAGTGCACAACATAACGCGCATAAGTGTATCGGGGCGCGGATCCAACTTTTTCTTAGGTTCTAATTTTTTAAATATAACCAAGGGAAGTGTTTGATGGTTCTTTCCTAATCCTAAACGCAAAAGCTATACAAAATGGTATGAAGAAAAAAACGTCGAGCATATCGAAAAATATTGATCAAAAATGGTCGATTTTTGACGGAAGCTTCGATTTTCCTACCTTAAATACTAAATTTGCTACTAAAAACACAATTAAAACACTCGACATTTTTAGACTCATACAAATGTGAATGAATGCACATTTGACGTAAAGTGCGGGTTCAGTTTAAAAAGAAGCCTGCGTTATATCCGGTTTAGCTGAAACGTCACGAATGCCTCCACAGTGGTCTAATTTCCCTGAACATCGACCGAGCCAGGGCGTTGACCGAGCTCATAATCGTGATGGGTAAGTCCATTTCACGGGTTGGACCGAAATTTATTTCCTCCTATCATAGGGTTTTTGTGGGAATCGATCCTAGCTACCTTATTAAAATTATTTGGCAACCCTTGCTTTCCCCCAGCAATCCACCTCCCTAGCAAACATCTCCACAAATACGTTAATTCCTAGTATCTCTGGTTCCACCAGTTTTTTACGCTGATTCCGAATCTGGAGTCAGTTTTTGCCATCGCCATTTTTCGCCGAGATATTCGATATTTTAAGTGCAAAAATCCCAGTTTTCCTAGCAGCTCTTTAGCAGCCCAATAGCGGCAAATCCATAATTTAACATAATTTAAATTTAATTTTAACAAACGAATTCTTTCAGGAGGACCTATTTGGTGCGAAGGCAACATCGCACAAGAGGGCGTTCGACGACCATCATGCTACGCTGGGCGACGCAATGCGCCATATCTTCATCAGCGGCAGGGATTCGTGCGCGCTCATCTAAAGGTATGTCGTATCATATTTCGAATTTAATCCTTCGCTTCAGGTGGCTGGCTTGAACCTTCAAACTGATGTGCGACGAGCTCAAGGAATTTTCTAGATGCCAAGTAGGTGGGTGCTTTAGCTCTAAACAGGACTTACCAACCTGCCTTTAATCGAATCATAGAGTTTCTGTCGTTTTACTGAATTTTCCCCCAAGTAGAATTATATTTGAGAGGGCGTTAGGTTTGGTTGGTCGCCAAAAGACCGAAAATACGCCAAACTCCAGCGATTTTGACCAATTTCGAATCTTTTAGTACCTGAAAATGGTGAAATCGCCCTTTTTTGGACGTAGATTGTGTTGCAACTCCCGCCCAGAGTTCTGATTTAAGCTCTTACTTTTAGGTAGGCGATGATCGGCACCAAGAAATACGACTCTACTCAACGCGATCGTCCAGCACAATGCGACACCTTAACAACCAGAACCGCAGGACTGGCGACTAGTTATTGTGATAAAATAAATTTTTTGATACTCGCGGCAATCACTATATGCATACTTGCTGTAGCTTATTGTAATTGCCGGTCAAAGAAAGTTGGCAGACGTCTTTGGAATCAGGGCAAAATTTTGCATAAGATCAGCTTGGTACTGCGCAAGACTGGCACCCCACAAAACTCACAAAAAAAGCATCCGCTTGTAAGTTATTTGCGCCATGTCTCGAAGACACAACCTGTTCCTGTCGCTCCCGCTCTCTCTCCCTCCGTCTTTCTCGCTCTCTCTATCTCTTGATCTTTCTATCTCGCTCACTCTCGCTCCCTCAACTTCTCTAGCTCTCTCTCATTCTCCCTCTCGCTCTCTCCCTCTCTCTCTCTCCCTCTCACTCAACGTCTCTCGCTCTCTCACATTAATCTCTCTTTCTCTCTCTGTCTCGATCGCTCTCTCATTCATCTCTCTCTTGTTCTCCCCCTCCTCTCTATCCCTCTATACCTCTATCTCGTTTTATCTCTCCCGCTCCTTCTCTCTCCCTCCCTCTCTTTCTCTCTCTCTCTCTCTCTCTCTCTCTCTCTCTCTCTCTCGATCTCCCTCTCCCCCATCTCCCTCTCTTTCTCTCTCTTCTCTCTCGCTCGCTCCCTCTATCTCTCTCTCTCTCTCTCTCTCTCTCTCTCTCTTTCCGTCTCTTGGGGGATTTACCTTTTTGCAGATGATTCAAGAATCCGCCTGCTATATCGACTGGACGAAACATTACTAAAATTCACTAAGTGTAAATAGGACGTCGACGTAGTTCTAGAATTACAGTATCCCCGAGGATTTTGGAAGGATCTGATCCTCAAGCACATCCTTCCCTACCTACATCAATACCCACGCTAACGGCTTTAGATACCTCCCCTAGCCGAAATCCTCCTCAAAAGACTACCTAAATACCTTCCTGATGGCTTCAGATACATTAAATTATTTAAATAATGATTTAAAATAATAAAAAGTATTAAAAAGTGTTAAAGTAACTTAAAATAGCGACCTAGGTACGGGAAAGGGCCTGGTGAAGAAGGCCTGGGGAAGGGGGCGTGGCCAGCCGGGAGAGGGGCCCTCGTTTCGTTTTATTAAGGCGCCACTTTCAAAGTTAATTTTAATAATTTAAACGAAAACCTTTTGATAATTCATTTATCAGTTTTGGGGTTCCTGACGGCGCTCTATCCGAATCCGAAGAGATCCTCAAGGATATAGGTTCAATGGCTTGTATCTGAATTCGGCATCGGAGATTTGCATTTTTGCAGCTGTGTGAACAGGATGATCGATAATTGTGGAGTCGACTCCAGTCGGTCGTTGGGCGGCTTCTTCTTTGCCTTCTCAACGGAAGCTCTGTTTGGTATATTTTAGTGACTTCACTCCTTATTAAAAAACTAATTCTTGGTAGCTTAGAATTGGCTACATTCGTCTGAAAAAGAGTACGCCGACGCCGATGATGTAGACACTAATTAAGTCGGCATTGATTTCGCCGACACTCAGTGCACCAAAAATGAGGCACTTGTGTATTTGCTGGGGGAGGCCACGAAACTTTTTCGGATCCGCTGAGATTTGGTACATAAATGGCGCATGTGCTGTTAAATCGTTTGTTGCCATTCAAAAGAGCAAGAAAACCACGTTTTTATTAAGACAATTAAATCCTTTTTTCCGAAAACTTCCTACCTTATATAATTTGGTCGCGTATCTTTGTGTGTGTGTGTGTGTGTGTGGATGTCACTTTCGAGGCCCGATTTGAGGGCCTTTCCGTGCATAAAATGCCCGAATTCTCTGTCACCCGGGGGAAACGACCCTTCTGTTTCCGATGGCGTTTTCAGAATTTGGATAAAATACAGGTTTACAAAGTTAAAGCCGGTTTTATTCATTTTTGGGGTCCCTGAGGGCTAATTTGCATAATGCGAGAAAATACAAATTTCCTCATCTTGCCAGTTGCACTCGCGAGTTTGGTCGTCTCTTTGGATCTGCCTTTCGATGCTTTTTCTTCCCCTGCCCCGGGGAATGCCCAACAAGGGTTTTTGGCGCGTGCTGGCAAGCATTGCATGGTGTAGTGGTTAGCGCTTCGCCCTGCTAATCTAACCATCGGAGGTTCGATCCTCTGATATCGTCTAAGCTAGCCGCACAAGCTCGCGCCGCAGGCTTTAGAACGAAGCTAGCCGCACAAGCTAGCGCCGCAGGCTTTAGAACGAAGCTAGCCGCACAAGCTAGCGCCGCAGGCTTTAGAACGAAGCTGGCCGCACAAGCTAGCGCCGCAGGCTTTAGAACGAAGCTAGCCGCACAAGCTAGCGCCGCAGGCTTTAGAACGAAGCTGGCCGCACAAGCTAGCGCCGCAGGCCTAATAACGAGACTAGCAGTTCAAGCTTGAGCAGCATACCAATACAAAGAGGTTTGCATGAGTGTTGCGTTTTTCTTTCGTCAGGGTAACTTTATGTGGACGGGCGCTCAATTCATAAGGCCTAGACGGGGTCCAGCGGGGGAGAGTCGCGAAGCGGCTCCGCCCCCGCTGGTTTTGAAATGATTCTGAATCAGCTCAACTTACTGGGAATTTTGATATAACAAACTCCGATTTTCGCTTAGTGACCGGATACTTCACCAGCCCACTGTGCAGTGTCAAATCTCGAGACAGAAGCGTTACCGAACAGTTTTTTTTGACTGCTCTGTAATCCGCTCGACCTGCTGAGCATTTTCACATATAAAAATCCGAAATACGTTTAGCGACCGGATACCGCAATTTTCCCAGAACCATGCCCCAGGGGCGTAGCTGACCTCAAGTTTCGGGGGGGCAGCGACATTTCGGAGGGGGCAGCAAGGAAAATTTGCCGAAATTTGGGCGCCGCAGGCGAAAAATTTCGCTAAAATCGCAGCGCCGTAGGCTAAAAAATGAAGAAAAGTAATAAAATTTCGGGGGGGGGGGGAATGGGCAGTTAGGCAGCAGGCAGAGAAAAATTCGGAACGAATTTTGGCTAAACTCCAGATAACCCCCCCCCCCAGCCGACCCCACCTACCGTATCTCGGCTCCCTGTTCATCTACAGGTGTGTAAAGTATACCAAAATACTCGCCACAGCAAGACGAACATTTTGGTATATTTTACACACCTGTAGATGAACAGAGAGCCGAGATACAAAAGTTGGGTGCCGGCTGGGGGTGTTATCTGGAGTCTTACCCGAATTTTGTAAGATGGTGCTAGTGTTCAAATGATGGTAATAGCAAAATGTCTCGTCTACGATGGAAACATCAAGGACTTCTCGCGATTCGACAGACAGTTTCCTGTGTTATGCGACGTTTTAGGGGCGGCCCTCCTACAGACGATCAATGGCGGCAAACCCCACCTTCTTCACCGACATCGACACCATCGCCGATGAACATTACAAGCCCGAGCCAGATTTCTACAATCTTTTTGTGTCCGGAGTGATCAAAACCGGTCAGCTATTTTGCGTTCCTGTGCGTATCGAAAAGATAGAGTCACCTGATTTTTTTACTTACCCCAGTGCAGCGTAATTTCATCCTTGCTCTCATCTTATCCTTTCATCCGTGCTTTTTGAGTCATCCGCAAATCATCTCGAAAGACAGTGGATTCGATAAAAAATTTGATGCTGAGTAATGCTATGTGGTTCATTTCTGCAGAATGGCTTTCGCGGATTTTATAAATTAGAAAAAAACTTAAGCACTTTTTCCTACATCGGTCGGCGCTGATGGCAGGTTGCAGGCTATAATATAGTGTCGAAAAACCACGATTTTTCTCGTATATGACTAGTGATGTAATAGAAATTGCTTTAGTGGTGTCCATAATGAAATTCATCGTATCTCCAGTGGAAAAATAGATCTCGAACCTCAACCAGCCAACGAAAATCATTTTTTTCTGCGACTGGGAAATGGGTTATTGCTAAAAAATCCGGTGTTTCCCAAATGGTATTTTTCGAAATGCTGGTTTTCGAAATCGTGACTGCCAACCCCCCCGCTGTACATGGGGATGTGATTTATGTGATTTTGTGTTGTAGGCGGTCAACTGCTTATAGAGTAGGAAAACCTCCATGCCAGATATCTGTCATTAATCTCCGGTTTTTCACTAGTCGTGCAGGCGCATAGAGCGGGAATGCAAAAACGAAAACATTTTGGACCAAGGCGTTCCAAAAAAGTTTTAAAATTGTAAATGTTGTAAAAACGGTGTTTTTGGCCAAATCCGAAAACTACTTTTCTGGTCGGGCGTACAGTGTCGATGAATAATTTAATTGCGCTTCTCCACCACTTGGCTCAATGTAATTCAATCCGACCCAAACTGACCAATTCGGCCGTGTTATTGTTATTGGGACAACCTGTAGAGGCTATCATCCGTAAACAACTATTTGTTCAGATCATTCGCTCTCGGAATCATCGTATTTCTGGTCGCGTGATCCGGATGATTGGGTGCCCGAAGTTTTGACCGGTAGGCTTTCATGCGGCCCGAAACAGCAGCACGGTACTGGACTGCCCCGGCCCCTCGTACCGGTCTGAACTTCAGTTTCGTTACGGTTCACTTTACCCCCCGTCACCCAACTCGAGGGTCCCAATCAACTATAATAAAAAGGTAGGGTGTCTGTCCGTCTGTCTGTCTGTCATGTCCCAGATTCAACTCGAAGGGGAAAGAAGCTAGAGCTTAGGTTCGGATTCGGATAGAGCGTGGTCAGAAACCCCCAAACTGATGAAAAAATTATGAAAAAGTTTTAGCTTAAATTATTAAAATTAACTTTGAAAGTGGCGCCTTAATAAAACGAGTGGGGCCCTCTCCCGGGAGGCCACGCCCCGTTTCCCTTCGCCCCTCTTCCCCAGGCCCTTTCCCGCGTCCAAATAGCTTTTTAAAGGGGCTCGGAAGTCAAAATTCGAGTGTTCGGAGCTTGAACCTGCTAGTAAAAAAACTAAGGGGTGACTGCCAAAATGTACCTGGAAAGTGATTTCGGCGCCAAAAAACGCAAAATATTTGAGAAAAACCGAAATCTTTTCGGGGCGAAAACGACTTTTTGAGTGGGCAGTAGACCTCCCGAACCCCCTAAACCCCCCTTAACCCCCCTCCCAACCCCCCTCTGCGCTCTCACCCTTTGCCCACTATCTCGCGCGAGAGGGGCGAAATAGTGGGGAAAGAGGAGAGACGCAGACGAACACAGAGGGGGGTTGGGAGGGGGGTTAAGGGGGGTTTAGGGGGGTTCGGGAGGTCTAGTGGGCAGCGTTTACATGTCGTAATGCCTTGTAAGGCACTCAATCTCTCGATCTTGGTAATTCTCTAACCAATTTTAATAATTAAAACGACTAGAGTGAGCAAAATTGGATGAGGATTACAGAAATAACGGCAGAATTTTGAAATTGACGCGTTTTCCCTTGCAAACAGGGACTGAAGAACACGCGGCACGGTCGCGTTGCGGCCGCATCTGGCTATTTGCCAGAAATCACAGCAGGGGGCCGTGGACCAGATTTCGGAGCCCCTTTAAGTTACTTTAATACTTTTAATACTTTTTAATTATGTTAATTTATTATTTAAATCATTTAAAGCATCGGGATGGAATCTAAGCATTTTTTGAAGGGGATTGCGGCTATGGGAGGTATCTGAAGCCATCAGGAAGGTATTTAGGTAGTTTTTGAAGGGGATTTCGGCCATGGGGGACGGGGTATCTTAGGCGGCTCGCGTGGGTATTGATGGACGTAGGGAAGGAAGGATGTGGTGGAGTAGGACATGTAAGGTAGCCCGAAGGCCAGATTGTTGCAGTCGCGAAGCGACTGTAACCATCTGGTTTTTTCAATATTTATGCTTTTTTTCGGGATTTTTGACGCGATTCGATAGAGCATCAAAAAATATACTAGAGTTTTAATTACAAGCCAAAATAATGTAAAATAAAATAGTTATAGCAAAAACAAAAAATAACCTCTGAAAATGCGGTTAAAAAGTAGGTTTTTGATGTTTTCGCTATTTGATTGACATGCGAGAAGTGGTGGTACAGTCCAGTTGTGGACTAACATATTTAGCAGAAAATAGGCTTGGTTCCATATCAAAAGTCGGACTTCCATGGCTGATCTTTTTCTTTGCAGCCCTGCACTTGATTCCCGGCGACCTGTTCGAGTCGATTATCCGTCCACTGGATGCAGCATCGTTGATGAGCCTTGCCGGCTTGGACGATGACTTGCAGCTGCGCGTCGAAAAAGCGCCGAAGTTTTGGGAGGTGGTCGACACGGTGCCCCGCGGCTACATGGTCGATTATGAATTCGTCCCGCATCGATATGCCTTGCCGCTGCTGAACAACGCCACCGTGATACAACGGGATAAGAAGTACCTCGACAAGCTGCCCGACTGCCGTGGCCTCCAGGATTTGCCACTCGAATTGCTGCGGATGGTGGCAGAGGATTTGTACCAGGAAGAATTCGTCTCGACGGCAATGATATTCCCTCAATTTCTCAGGACCGGATATCCTATGGGGGATTATGGGTCAGTGGATCGCTAAAAGCTCTTTACCAAACCCACTAACAATCAAGCAGTTATCAAACTAGAATTTCAGTCTGAACCGCGTCACTGTCCGTGGGGTCAAGCAGGTTGACGGCTCGAAGAAGACGGTGGTTCGCGTGGAGCATGAACTCGGAGATGACGGAGTCACGGCATGGCTGATAAACAACGCGACTACCATTGACCATCTGCTGTTCGACGCCACAATCACGTACTTCCCCGACGGCATCCGATTGCCAAAATGTGAGCGCTGGACTGTGCTGCCAATTGAGGTATGCCTATAGCCTCATAATAAACGTAGCCGAAGCCGAAGTCTTAACCTAAGCCTATGCCTAAGCTTAAGCCTAAGCCTAAACCTAAATTTACGCCTAAGCCTAAGTCCGAGCTTAAGTCTGTCCAAACTTAAGTCTAAGTCTAAGCCTAAACGAAGCGTGCATCGAAGCTTCAGGCTAAGCCCAAGCCATGACCGAGAACTAAGCCAGTCCCGGAGCTAGTCTAACATTTAACTTAAGCCGAATAATCCTCATAAGCCAAAGCCAATCCCAAATAAAAACCAAGTTCCGTTCAGAAAATGGATCCGATCTGGCCGGGCCTCTCCAATTTCTTCAAGCTGAAATGCCGCCGAACTCTCATCCTCCACGGCCCACCATCCACTCAAGCCGTCACCTGCTGGCGTGACCTGCTAGAAAACGCCGGAGCCACCGATGAGGGATTATACGGCTGGGTGACCGCGGAGGTATTGATTATCAACAAGCATCAATGCGAGACGGCCCACAAATGTAGACAAACGAGGTTTCCAGATGAGACAGGCTGGCCTCGAACATCTCCCACACCTTCTTCCGTTCAACGGCTCGGAGCTGCGGATCCGCTTCTTTGAACGGAACGGAGGCGTCGATCTACCAGCCGTCTGGAATTTTCTAAAGAGCGCCATCGCAATGCCCCTCGCCCACGACCAGCGAATCCACGTAATTTCATACAATTTCCCCGGGGCGCCAGTCGGGTATTAGGATCGGTACAGAACTGTTGGCGGGACGGGGGGCGGGTATCAGCGGGACGAGGAACGAAATTTTTGCTACTCATATGTACGGTATGGCCCAAGAATTTTAACAGTTTTTAAAAGTACAAAACTCACAACAAAATGATAAAATCCTGCATTTCAAGGCGGATGAAATTTATGAAAAACGTATGAAAAACAAACAGCAATGGCCCCGAAAAAAGCCAAAGTTCGAAGTTTAAAATTTTTCAAATGTATTTTTGTAACTTTCTAGCGATTAAAAAATACTGAAAACAGTATAAAAATCCATTATTGATTAACAACAGGTATAAGCGGAAAAATCTGCTATATATAAATTTCTAATGTCCGTGCGCCCGACCGACCGGGAATTCAGCCAAATTTTGCATCCAAATTCCAAATTCAGATTGTGGGGGAGGAGGGCCAGCGCTCAACCCCCGCGAAGCGGGGGGTCAGCGCTGGTAAGAATTAGATTTCCCCGGGTAAAATAATATCCCACAACGCTAACGGTCCAGTACCGCAGCCTTAACGGTTTGTTCCAGGTCTTCTTCGAGCCCCAGCTACAGCTCGACATGATGGGTCCCGAGATCTTCCCGGGCATCCCGCTGAACCAGAACTTCGAAGACGACACCGTCATCTACGAGCTGGAGGACGCGGCATGGCCGTTTATTATCTACCTCCGCCCGGACTACATTGTGGTCCAGGGACGCACGTGGCGCTAGCCACTTTATCAGGTGGGCAGAATTGTCGGTACTGTGCTGTTAGCGGGGGAGGAGTTAGCAAGTGGAAAAAACTAATTTTTCCCAGTGATCCCGTAAGACGCTCTACCGAACGCTCAATTTATTCCTCTCCGGTGTGTAGATGTCATTTTCGAAACACGATTTGAGGGCCATCTCGTATAACAAATTCTCGAATTCTCGATCGATCCGGGAGGCAACCTGTAAAGTACGACCCCGTGCGAGCCCGTACGCCCTCCTGAAAAGTACGACCCCGACAGGGATTTTACCTGGAAAGTACGACCTCCAGAAGAGTACGACCCTTAACCATATCTTTATAACATTATATTTTACCCAATATTAGTGTTTCACTATGTAATTATGCTCTATTGCTAATAGTCTACCATCTACTTATCTTGGAGTGTGCACCCAGGGGTATAATAATGATTGCTGAAGCTTCAAAGCGCCTTATAAGGCGTGCATCGTGCATTAACAGAAACCCTAGTATGCATTATTACATCCCCAGCTACATTAATAGTTTAGGGATCATCTATGAATTTCTAAACGCGCTAAGGTATCGCCTATACTTTAGAAATCGCATAATAATAGAAAAAACGGCTGACAAACGGTAATATAGGTAAACTTATTAGTAATTCCCTGTTCATTATAACTATTCTAGGCCATTATAGTGTTAAAGCTAGTTAAACTTGGTTTATGATTGATTAAACCTCTAGGCGACCATCTTTAACAGGGGCCGTACTTTCCAGGAGATCGTACTTTCCAGGGGTCGTACATTACAGGGATCGTAATTTCCAGGAGAGCGTACGGGGTCGCACGGGATCGTACTTTACAGGTTGCCGCCCGGGGGAAACAGAGGCTCCTTTCTTTCGGCTGACGTTTTTATAGCGTCCACAAATCATCAGTTTACAGCGTTAAATCCGGTTTTCTTCATTTTTGGGGCGGGGGCGTAACTCTCTGCTAAAGGTCCCCTTTGCTAACAGTCCAGAAAACGAATTGTAAATACTGCTTTTGACTGCTAGTTTCGGCTCCTCATAGCGACCTTATTCAGGCTCCGCCACTCCAACAATCGACCAGCCAGCTGCTCGACGTTGACTGCCCGGCCAAGGGTTAAAGAATTGATGGATTTTTAAGTTAGAGTCTGCTTATCGCCTAGTTGCCCTTGTGATTTCGCTATATGAGGGATCGTCTATTTATCGATGCACGATTTTGAGGGTATTACATGGAATAAATCTATTAAACAAACAATTTGATGCATTCAAAGACAAGCTGAAGGAGGAAAACTGAGCGTCGCCGTAATTTTTAAACTCGTTGTGGTACGCAGATGAGAGCTTGTCGAGCGCGTTTTTTTTCTGAAAACATCCCTGACGTCCAGACGCTCCTTTTGGTCCGTTTGATCAAACGCCAGATACTGTAGTTCTAGAACTACGTCGACATCCTATTTACACTTAGTGATTTATGTACACAAGCTCTCATCCGTCTCCCATATCAACTGGACGAAACATTACTAAAATTCACTAAGTGTAAATATGATGTCGACGGAGATCTAGAATCGATTTGGCTTCAGGAGATGAATCTCTTCTTGCATTTTTCAGATGAATCGCAGAAGAGCAATTTGCGGTCTTGTTCTGTTTGGCCGAGGGCACCAAAACTTGCCCTCAGGAAACATTCTGATTCTATATCTCTTTTTTCTCTTCTCTTCACTTCACTCTTTCTAACCCACTAACTCAATCATTCTCCATCTCTCTCTCTCTCTCTCTCTCTCTCTCTCTTTCCTCTCTTTCTCTCTCTATCCATTTGTCTCTTCAATCCTTGCGCCTATTTGTGTCCATATTTTCGGCTCTTTTTCGCCCTCGAACCGGACCTCGCCTCTTTTCTTTGGACCGCCCGGACAAAGCGTCTCTCCGCCCCTAACCCCCTATATACCGTAGCCCTTGCCTTCCCGTCTTTAAAGTGCAAAACTACGATTTTATGTGCAGTGGCGCAGCCGAAATTTGGAATGAAGGATTAACGAAATTTTCAATCGGATCTTATTTGGCAAAAAGCTTTATCGGAAAAAACTTGAAAATGTTGGCCATCCCTAGAATCAGACAAATTCTGTTGTTTCAAGGTTTCGATTTGGGGCCGCAGCCGTATTCTACGTTTCTCAAGGTCTACGGTGCTTTGCAATAAAACAAAAGTTATAAATATACAGCAGTAATGTCGAAAGTTCGTTGTTATTCTATTCAATTCCTGAAGAACCTATATTTAGCTAGCTGTCTTTGACAGCCATTACACACCAGCCGATTACAGCCGCTTCGCGACTGTAATCGACTGGCCTTCGGGCTACCCTCCATGTTATACACCACCACATTACACCTTTACCTTCATCAATACCCACGCTGGTCGCTTCAGATACCTTCTATGGCCAATCCCTGCTAAAACTTAGCTACTTTACTTGGCTTTAGATCTTTCCGCTAGCCGAATTCCCCTTAAAAAACTACATCGATACCTTCCTGATGGCTTCAGATACCCCCCATGGCTAAAGTCCCCTTCAGAAACTACGTAAATACCTTACTGATGGCTTCAGATACCTCCCATGGCTGAAATCCCCTTCCAAAACTACCTAAATACTTTCCCGATGGTTTAAGATACCTCCCCTAGCCGAAATCCCCTTAAAAAACAAAAATAACGACCGACCGGATGGAATGAGAGAAAAAAAGAAATGAAATCCCCCGTGAAAATTTTCATCCACGAAACGCGCGCGACCTGGCTCACTATGTCCAAAATCACCCCACCTCCGTCCCCCAACCTTTTTACTAAGGAAAAAACTTTCAAAGTTAAATTTGATAATTTAAACGAATACTTTTTCATAATTTTTTGATCAGTTTGGGGGTTTCTGACCACGCTCTACCCGAACTGAAGAGACCTAAGCTCTAGCTCTTTCCCCCTTCGAGTTGAATTCGGCGTCACACACACACACACACACACACACACACACACACACACACACACACACACACACACACACACACACACACACACACACACACACACACACACACACACACACACACACACACACACACACACACACACACACACACACACACACACACACACACACACACACACACACACACACACACACACACACACACACACACACACACACACACACACACACACACACACACACACACACACACACACACACACACACACACACACACACACACACACACACACACACACACACACACACACACACACACACACACACACACACACACACACACACACACACACACACAGACGGACGTCTCTACTTTTTTATTATAGTTGATTCCCTTGAAATTCCCAGATTTGATTAGTCACCGCAACAGCACCCTGTTTTCGAAATGTGTGTCTGGGGTGGGCGTGTACGGCTAATTCCTCTATACGTACAGTTAGCAGCACCCGAGCTTTCCTAATGAAATATCCTGTTTGCAGCTACGCTCAAGCAGTTCCATAGCGGCGCCTGAGACGTCAGGGACCAGTTCAGGTAGAACACATAGCTCGACAGGCGCACTTCTTTTTCCTGTGCATCCGGTGTACGGCTAATTCCTCTCTAAGCGTACAGTCAGAAACAACGGAACGTTCCGAATAAACCAACTGTTTGCAGCTACGCTCAAGCAGTTCCATAGCGGTGCCTGAGACGTCAGGGCGCACTTCTCTTTCCTGTGCATCCGGTGTACGGCTAATTCCTCTCTAAGCGTACAGTCAGAAGCAACCGAGCTTTCCTAATGAAATATCCTGTTAGCAGCTACGCTCAAGCAGTTCCATAGCGGTGCCTGAGACGTCAGGGACCAGTTCAGGTAGAAAACATAGCTCGACAGGCGCACAACGGAACGTTCCGAATCAAACCAACTGTTTGCAGCTACGCTCAAGCAGTTCCATAACGGTGCCTGAGACGTCAGGGACCAGTTCAGGTAGAAAACATAGCTCGACAGGCGCACAACGGAACGTTCCGAATCAAACCAACTTTTTGCAGCTACGCTCAAGCAGTTCCATAACGGTGCCTGAGACGTCAGGGACCAGTTCAGATAGAAAACATAGCTCGACAGGCGCACAACGGAACGTTCCGAATCAAACCAACTGTTTGCAGCTACGCTCAAGCAGTTCCATAACGGTGCCTGAGACGTCAGGGACCAGTTCAGGTAGAAAACATAGCTCGACAGGCGCACAACGGAACGTTCCGAATCAAACCAACTGTTTGCAGCTACGCTCAAGCAGTTCCATAACGGTGCCTGAGACGTCAGGGACCAGTTCAGGTAGAAAACATAGCTCGACAGGCGCACAACGGAACGTTCCGAATCAAACCAACTTTTTTGCAGCTACGCTCAAGCAGTTCCATAACGGTGCCTGAGACGTCAGGGACCAGTTCAGATAGAAAACATAGCTCGACAGGCGCACAACGGAACGTTCCGAATCAAACCAACTGTTTGCAGCTACGCTCAAGCAGTTCCATAACGGTGCCTGAGACGTCAGGGACCAGTTCAGGTAGAAAACATAGCTCGACAGGCGCACAACGGAACGTTCCGAATCAAACCAACTGTTTGCAGCTACGCTCAAGCAGTTCCATAACGGTGCCTGAGACGTCAGGGACCAGTTCAGGTAGAAAACATAGCTCGACAGGCGCACAACGGAACGTTCCGAATCAAACCAACTGTTTGCAGCTACGCTCAAGCAGTTCCATAACGGTGCCTGAGACGTCAGGGACCAGTTCAGGTAGAAAACATAGCTCGACAGGCGCACTTCTCTTTCCTGTGCATCCGGTGTACGGCTAATTCCTCTATACGTACAGTTAGCAGCAACCGAGCTTTCCTAACGAAATATCCTGTTTGCAGCTACGCTCAAGCAGTTCCATAGCGGTGCCTGAGACGTCAGGGACCAGTTCAGGTAGAAAACATAGCTCGACAGGCGCACTTCTCTTTCCCTGTGCATCCGGTGTACGGCTAATTCCTCTCTAAGCGTACAGTTGAGAAGCAACGGAACGTTCCGAATCAAACCAAATGTTTGCAGCTACGCTCAAGCAGTTCCATAGCGGTGCCTGAGACGTCAGGGACCAGTTCAGGTAGAAAACATAGCTCGACAGGCGCACTTCTCTTTCCTGTGCATCCGGTGTACGGCTAATTCCTCTCTAAGCGTACAGTTAGAAGCAACGGAACGTTCCGAATCAAACCAAATGTTTGCAGCTACGCTCAAGCAGTTCCATAGCGGTGCCTGAGACGTCAGGGACCAGTTCAGGTAGAAAACATAGCTCGACAGGCGCACTTCTCTTTCCTGTGCATCCGGTGTACGGCTAATTCCTGTCTAAGCGTACAGTTAGAAGCAACGGAACGTTCCGAATCAAACCAAATGTTTGCAGCTACGCTCAAGCAGTTCCATAGCGGTGCCTGAGACGTCAGGGACCAGTTCAGGTAGAAAACATAGCTCGACAGGCGCACTTCTCTTTCCTGTGCATCCGGTGTACGGCTAATTCCTCTCTAAGCGTACAGTTCGACGCAACGGAACGTTCCGAATCAAACCAAATGTTTGCAGCTACGCTCAAGCAGTTCCATAGCGGTGCCTGAGACGTCAGGGACCAGTTCAGGTAGAAAACATAGCTCGACAGGAATACGCTATTTTAAGTACCAGAAAATCGTTGAACGAGGTATCGCTTCAGATGCTTCATTTTAGGCTTCGAAAAGTGAGAAAATAGCCTAGACTAGCCGCTGGTATCATTCGATAACCATGACGACGCCATTCGGAGAGCTACGCATGCGTAACCTAGAAATACGCTATTTTAAGTACCAGAAAATCGTTGAACGAGGTATCGCTTCAGATGCTTCATTTTAGGCTTCGAAAAGTGAGATAATAGCCTAGATAGACTAGCCGCTGGTATCATTCGATAGCCATGACGACGCCATTTGGAGAGATACGCATGCGTAACCTAGGAATACGCTATTTTAAGTACCAAAAAATCATTTAACAAGGTATCGCTTAAGCAGCTTCATTCTGGGCTTCGAAAAGTGAGAAAATAGCCTAGACTAGCCGCTGGTTGGATTCGATAGCTATGTCGACGCCATTTGGAGAGATACGCATGCGTAA